AAAAAAAATCATGATAATTATCCCTACTATTTCAAACAAAATAATAGCAATAATGCTACGCTGATCCATTTTTGAGACTAAATTTAGAGCTCAAATGGCATGACAACATATTATTTAAAATTTTTATTAGGACCCAAATAATATGACACCAAATAAAAAAATCTAAGTCAGTTGCCATGTCATTTGTGCTCCAAATTTGGCCCCAAAATTTGATAGCATTACTGAAATAATAGACATAGGGTAGCCAACAGCCCCGTCAATCTGTAGGCACCATAAGCGAACCCAACATAAAAACAACATAGAATTAGTAGGTATGAATTGAGCTTAACAAGTTTAGTTGGTAAACAGATGGACTCATTAGACTCATCAAACAAATGGGTTAATACGAATCAAACTAAATATGACAATAACCCACTAAACACGACTTGCATATAGTTTATATACAACATATATCCAACTATACACAAATATAAATAAGTCAAATTTTGATACAATACAATTTTGACGTGACACAACCCTAAATTAGCCAATAATACTTAGATTAACAAGCCCTAGTGTTAACAATTGCAGACCCAACATTTGGATATCCAATTTCCTGTATATGACTAAAAAAGCTCAAACTGTTTAAGCCATCTCTGTTAGGCTCGATATTTTTTGAAATGTCTCAGTAATGAAAATGAAAGAAAACTTCAACACTTTGTCCTTATACTTGCCAACCCTTTTGAACAATCGATAAGGATTTATCTTGGCAATTACATAGTTCATCACATTTGACCGGAACAAAAAAAAAACAAAGACAGATGCCATAAGAACCTGGAGTACCTTAAAAAAGTGTTTTTATGTCTTCAAAAGATATTTTATTCTTCAGCAATGCAATTGGGCCTAATTTGGAAACTCAATGATTGTGAACATTGGATTATAAGTGTGGCCCAACATTAAGTTAAGTCCACTATCAGTCCAATTGTTGCACTATATCAAATCTCCGAGCTATGTCCCAATCGCATTAATGTTTATAATTATATATGTAGAAAANGTCCACTATCAGTCCAATTGTTGCACTATATCAAATCTCCGAGCTATGTCCCAATCGCATTAATGTTTATAATTATATATGTAGAAAATGAAAAAATATTTATAACAACACCAAGAAAATGAACTTTTTCCAGCGACTTTGCCCGAGTAGTAGGAAGCATTGAAATGGGACTTACATTCACATTTTTTTGACCAGCACTCGTGCCCCTAAAGGAGAAATCTTAGCAATTTACATAGCTTCTACAGCATCAGCATCATCCGATTCAATGTAACACTTGAGTTTAGAACAAAAAAGATTGTTACCATGAAATGGAACGATGCATATTGTCTTGATTGCGTACAAGATGCTCAAGACTGAAGAAACCGATCCGGAAATGCTAATCAAGCCTTTATACGGACCACAAATGAACCTATTCATTAGGAACAAACAAAATCACAATAGAGCGTATCATACATAAGTTGAGAATAAATAAGATTCATGGCTAGTAATCAAGATTAATAAAGCAAGTTTAAAACACAATGAGCTCCACTATTAACAAAACTGGGAAGTTCAAGGCATGCATAGCCAAAAGGATTTTATGGCAATGTGAAGTCTGCAATACCTTCAAACAGAAACAGCATTAGTACCACCATCAAATCTAGTAGGCCTAGTGATTTTCAATCGGACTCCCAGTTACATCGCTTTAATGATGAGAGTGTCACTTACCATGTGCCCTTTCTCTCAAAGGAAAACAGAACTTCTAATCCCCCCCCCCCCCCCCCCCCCCCCCCCCCCCCCCCCCCCCCCCCCCCCCCCCAACAANCCCCCCCCCCCCCCCCACCATCTTTCACTCTCTCTCTCCAAACCCACAACAAGAAGAAGAGGAAAAAAATCCTCCCACAAAACACAACACTCAGCAGAATCAAGAGGAGAGGGTTGTTCTTAAAGTTAATTTTCAGGAGTATATGAATAAAAGCTAAAGTTAATGCAACTATGTTTTTAAAGTGGTCTTAGCTTTCTCAATACCGTGTCAAGCACTAGCAGTGTATGCTAGAACCTGGGAAACTAATTAAGGAAAACCAACTAACCAATAAATTTCTTACAGATATTCAGAATGCTAAACCAGATAATTGACCATACCAAGATGTCAAACCATCGACCAAAGCGGGATTCCTCTGACACCCCTTAATCTACTTTTCCACAAGTTTTGGGTTCCATCAGGATGGTAGCATGTACGGTAGTTATTTTCCATGATGATCCATGCAAAGTTGGGGCAAGAGTAGGCTGGTATGAGTTTAGGGGCATTTTGGGATAAGATTCTGAATTGTGTGCTACTTCCATTTTAATGAGCAAACTGAACTGACGGCCTGTTTTCAAGCACTAACATAGGCCACATAGAGACACCAGGAAGAATTACAGTATGGGCCATCTGCTCTAAACTTGTATTGCATGCTGTTATGCTGTAGTTTAACGAGCTCAAATGGACATGCCAGGTACAATCAACTGTATTTGTTTGTCAAATGAACAGCTTCTTATCGTGTGTTTTTGTGGAAGTATTACAAAATTGAAATACAAAACCACTAGATATGCTGGATTGACAGAATACACAAATCAAGTACATCTAGTTAGTAAAAGCTTTTACTGTTTTCAATTTCTCATTTGCTCTATTGCCATAACCCTTGCGTCATCTTAATCAAATTGCCCTTAATTTTTTTTGAGTCCAACTAATTCCCATTATTTCCAACACTTTTATCAAGTCAGCCCAGTATCATGCCTCTTTCCCAACTCAACCATAAATAGACCGCACTAGAACATTCGATCTTCTAATTTTCTCAAGTCCAGAACACAACTTCAATAAAGCTTGGATCACAAAGCGTGAGTGTATGGCTACTAGCCTGACCACTAGCCTGACAGCATCCACTTTCTTAAAATAAAGCAAATGCAAATCTTGCATCCAACTCACCCGTCCAGGATTGACGCGGGACAACATTGGACACTGGCTCCCAAAAAACTCTAATCGATGCAGTTGGTTCTTCCAAGTTGTTTGTGCTATTAATGCCCCCAACAAAAAAGGATGGAATAAAGTGTCAATAATGTTTTTCCTATCAGTGACTTCCAGAAATCCTTGATGGTCAGAGGATATTCTGCTGGACTGCCGGCACAAATCAGAACTACCTTTAACTCGGAATATAATAAGAAAATTAATCCGAAGATAAATCAGGTAACTCATGCTCAAACTTAAGAGTCTTAAGGATTTCTGAGTAAATGTGCATGTACTGGGAAACTAACTGAAATTCATGGGGATGACAAGAATGATGAGACAGTAACGAAAACCCATCATTTATGATCATTTTTGGAAAAAAACACCCACTGCCTGGAGACTAGCAGACACAATATTGATGTCATTTTAACAGCCATGAATTTTCACTTGTGCTAGAGCATTCAAATTATAGGATTGCATTAGCACAGTGTACACTATATCAAATACTAGTATCCTCACCAAATTAGTTGCGTCACATACTGGGTGTTATTCTGAAGCCGCATTTAAAAGATGGACATGGCAGGAATAGATCTCCTTCATATCAAAATATATTGTATCATAGCTTCCACCTCCACATGATATGACACAACTAAACTTTTACAGGTATTCTCCAAAGTCCAAGCTAACGCGTTTAAGGTGAAAACCCAAGAAAGCATTAAATTACTACCATAAATTACTACCATCTCTGCTTTCTCCTGACCGTTAAATGGAACAAGGCAAAAAAGCAGAATACGACATCACACCGACAGGTCTGAAAGAGTTGGGGGGGAAGAAAGAGTTTACACAAACCATTAAGGATGGGATAATTTAGATGAGTTAAAAAATGAAATTAGTAAAAACTAACTGAACTGGATGACTATAATTCATTTGAGTGAGATTTTCTTTNGAAGAAAGAGTTTACACAAACCATTAAGGATGGGATAATTTAGATGAGTTAAAAAATGAAGTTAGTAAAAACTAACTGAACTGGATGACTATAATTCATTTGAGTGAGATTTTCTTTTTCCAATTATTACAAATTCTTGACCCTAAAATTTTGAGATATATCAGACAGTCATGGCATCAAGATGGCCAGATATGCACCAACTGATCTATAATAATGCCCTCCACGTGGTAAGTCATGTTAACATAATGAAATTTTCCAATTATTATTGGGAACAGATTATTCTCTCGTGTTCTTTTCTTTAGAGATTCTGATGGAGCATATTCAGGAGAACTTAAAGACAGTAACTCACAAGCAGGAAGGTTGGATATATCTGCTGAAACAGCACAAGGGATTCCCAAGTTTGAAAGTGCTCCTCTTATGATTCCACATGGGAAGTAAAGATGCAAGCCTGTCACTTGTGTTATCTTGTTTTCAGCCACGGCAGAAGGATCTTGAGATGAAGCAGAGTTCTCAGGTGATGGATCAACTGACATGCGTGCAAGCCAGCGAAATTTGTTATCTTGCAATACAAATGTACCCTGCACGGGAATCATAAGCAACTTCATTAGCTTACACCAACAGTTAGTTGCCATACAATCTAAATTCTTAAACTTACTCTATGATTTGTCTTTAAGTTGTCTATCTGCTTCTTGAATAGCTCCGACCAGAAGTCCTTGCAGATGAACTTGATTGCCTCTAAATGATCACTGAACCGCGGCCTCTCCATGGTATACCTAATTAAAAGGATATTAATATAACTATTGAGCAGTATTCTTCACAAGCATGAAAGTGGGAGATGGACCAATGTAGCCAGCCCAGATATACAAAAAATGAAGGAAGAATAAAGATATGAAAGTTTTTTCCCACTTTAGTCTGGTAATTAGATGCATATTTTCTTATGCCGCTGCTTTTTTTTGCTTTTGCTTTTTTTTTTTTTTTATTTGTGGAGGGTTAGGGTTAGAAAGACTTCCATGCACTTAAACTCACACACACAACTTATTGATTCTCCAATGGCTGATCTCTTCCTTTAAAATTGAAATATTGATTTCTAACCAACATAAGAAAGAAAGGGGTCTCTGATATAGAACGCACCAATAGATGCCATTTGCATTTAACTGTCATATGCAAGGAAGTAATGGCTTTTTTAATCAAAGGCAGTGGCAGGAAGGGTGTCTATTACAAGCCAACTGATAGAGTCCTTAAGAAGCTCAAGGAAAATCAAAACTTAAGGTAGAGAGAAATTTTCAATTTTGGCTTGGCTTCAAGGGAGCCCACTTTGGACAACCCATAATAGCTTTAGCCTTAGTAGAGTCGTATTAATATTTTTTCATCCATAGGTTAGTGGTCAGATATATCTATGCTTTCTTATGTCTCTAGAGCTCCAGCTATTTTGGGAATTTCAATTTTAATGGACATGAGTCAAAGGAGTGACCTATGGACCATATTCAATAATGGCTGGATTGTTGCATCCTACATATGATTTTCGCTAGTGTATTTGTTTTCTGTGGTCAACACAAACTAATTACCAAATATGGAGATCTAATCCTATAAGGTTAGAAGAGCTTTTAAGTATATATTATACCATGTAATCCTTTCAGTTGAATGGAGTTAATTTATTGAATTTATTGAACTTTTTGAAGCCCTATCTCCAGTTGTGATCCATGTGAGACCATGGGCATGGTGCATCGTTTCATCTTCTCAATCATCATCTTCTTCTTCTTCTTATTCTTCCTCTTCTTTCTTTGTCCTTATGAAATTGTGAAATTGTAACCAGATCAAAACCCATCAATCTCACTTCCAAAAACCTTATTCACTCCATCAAACAATTAATCCTTGTATTCCAAAACCATATAGTAGCTAATTGAAAAGCAAGCCAAAGTTTCTCCTTCTTACAGTAATACAGGCCTAAAACTTGTACTCTTTAGTTAACCCTTTTACAATCCCAAACCACAACACTCTACTTAGCAGAAAATCAAACCAAACCAAACCCAGCCCCTAATACAGCTTTTCCTACTGCTCAACATTCATTTTGGCATCAAAAACTTGCAAAATACTGTTTCCCCACACTTACCCCTAATGACAAAGGTTTTTAGAGTAAAAGCAACTTCATAGCATTTACAAATGTGCTTGAATCTTGACATCATAATCTGTGTAATGCCTATCTGCTTATCTAGTGAATATCATTATGATAACAAAGACTTTGATTACAATATCACCTGGGCAAGAAATTGAATTAGAGCATATGCCAAATTAGGATGCCAGCATTTATACCCACATATGGACCCAGATCAATGCTTCCAATCAACAACTTTAATATCCAAGAACTTGATTTGATCACACCACTATTAACCTCTGAACATGTAAGAAAAAAAAGATTCTCAAAACCCCAACTTCAAGCCAACAGCACATAAGGATCTACAAGGCCACTGCATACTGGAATAGGAACAAATCAATGGAGAGCAGGCATATCAAGAAACAAGAACAGGTTACTCGAAAAATGGATGTCAAACTCATGATACAACTTCACATCCTAAAAACACAGGCTACCTAGGAAAACTCATGGAACATCTCTGAATCTTGGCTCTGCAAAACCTTTGGAAATTCTTTCACATAACTATCACTCCGTGTAAAGAATTCTTAGTGGCATCTGAGACCTATTGTGAACAAACTTCACTGCTTTAAATGGACTCTTTATCAAATAAAACACATGAACTCAAGAGGTTGACGATTATGAAGTCATCGTAATTCGGCTCTTAACAATTTACTCAAGCACATGACATGCAAATAGAATGCTAAAATCCATAAATAACATAAACACTGCAACTGCTGATTGCACTCATGAATTCTTTTTGATACGATTTTCTGACTATATATGAAGTAAGATACACAACTTGAGATCTCTCAGAATTTTTCTTGAACATATCTGTCTGCTGAACAACATTATTTCAAACACTTTCTGGGCAAACTGCATTGCAAAGGCCACTTGCTTTGCCACTGCTTGCAATATTGGAATTCATTGTAAACTAAATGAACCAACCAGTTTCTCAAGTACCTCTGTGTTCCGCTGGAAAAAATCCTAATGAACTTTTAAAAAAAACTACTTAGACATCTAGCCTACGATTTGAACCAAACTGGAATTCTTATTTTCTGCCAAGCATAACCTAATTTACTTCGGGTTTTCAGACTCAAAGACTCAGTCATAATATGATTGCAACTTGAGTTAAAGTCAATTTCGTTTTTCAGACTAAAAGCGACAAACTAATTGACTAAGATTTTTGCTCACTATGGCTTTTTAACTCGAAGAACGAAAATAATCCAAACTTGAATTTTAGTCAATTCGGTTTTTAAGACTGACTAGATTCACTTTCGTATTTTGGACTCAAAAGTGATGAAATTACATTCTTTAACACCAATGGCGGATCTTCACTTTGGCATTATGGTGGAACTTATATAAACAGGACCACAGATGCATAAGAATTCTACAGTCACAACCCCACATTCAAGCTCTTCTAATTTGTGATAAGCAAACGAGGCAGGAGAGCCCTATTTTACTGTCCCATAGGGATGTCCTCCAGTAAAAAGTCATGCTCTATAATAAATGGTCATGCCTACTTGCTTTTAGGAAAATATCTGTTTACCTCCTTCTAAAGTTCTAAAAGTTACCAACAAATAGTACTGATGAAAGTACATGTGCCTAATTACTACAGACCATCAATTGAATGGGTGGCTGGTGATGATTGAAGGGTCATGACCATTCATTCAAAAAAGTAAGCATTGCACAAAGAAAGTATTATGATTACCATGCACAACAGGCAACTGTTGACTCACACCATATCAATACACCAAAAGGGATAATCCCATGTCAAGCACCACATTATTTTCTCAAATCTTTCTAAGATTTCCAATGATGGGTGACTATTGATTAAAGAATCCAACTTAAATTCACAAAAAATATTCTCATAGAGAGGGAAAGGAAGGGTTTCAACAATAGGATCTGACTGAACGTTTTTTTTTTCCCCTTTTTTTTTTCTTTGTTCCTTTCATTATAAGAAGTATTTTTCGCACCTCAATTATAACTTTATTTATATGAAACAAACCTCTTCGAACAAAGTCAAAGCTCGTGCAACAATCCATTATGTAAAGAAATCCAATAAATCATAACTAAGTCAAAATGAGAGCCATTATTTATCAATTAGATCTCAAATTCTTTCTTTCACCGCCTTTGGCACCAGACTTCAACCTTTTCACTTTCCTATTTCATTCTCCTTCACCAATTCTGGTAAACCACTTGGATTTCCAGTGAAAAACATGAGATATCCCATAAAAAATCCAAATATTGGTTCACAACCATTCCTCAACCACAAATTTCCAATTAAATCCACTCCAAAAACCTAAATCATCTTCTTGCTGCAATACCAAAAGACGTGACGATGGCACCTAGTCACCTCTACAGTTTTTTCATCAATAGAAATCTGCATAATAAGTTCCCAATGTACAAATCATTTCAAAGTATATTCAATTGCATACCTTAGGAAGGCATCCGACAAGATGATTTTTGAAAGATTTAACACTACAATGAATGTTAAATACATAAGTTATGCAAGAATGTCTCTCAGAAGTTGATTGGAGGACAGGTTTAATGATTCAAGCACCAATAAATTTCCCAACAATGACAGGATATGATCCACAATGTGTTTGTGAGATATGTTGAGGGTTCACAATGAATTTCTTTTCTAGAATGTTTCCATCTCTACTTCAAATTTAAATCCACTCTATTTTTATCCACATTCTTTGTAGCTTTGAAGTTTTTTAAATAATTGGTAGGCAGAGACAACTAAACTCATTGCAAGAGATATCGATGATTTATGGCCTAGGGAGGAGATTATAAACTCTGAAGGGTCTACAAATGGGGCAACGGAATATGTTANGAAGCTTTGAAGTTTTTTAAATAATTGGTAGGCAGAGACAACTAAACTCATTGCAAGAGATATCGATGATTTATGGCTTAGGGAGGAGATTATAAACTCTGAAGGGTCTACAAATGGGGCAACGGAATATGTTAGGCTTCAAGATAAAAGTTGGAGTTCTAGAAGAGCTCCCAATGACTAAGAGAAGGTANTAGGCTTCAAGATAAAAGTTGGAGTTCTAGAAGAGCTCCCAATGACTAAGAGAAGGTACCAATTTTCTTGTTGCTTCCAAGAAAGTATAAGTTTCTACAACTGACCAAAGATTGTGGTACTATTCCTTTTAAATACTTCCCATGCAAATTATGACTTCTTAGTCTGTTGTCCTTCACAAATGTTGTTGGAATGGTCATATTAAAGCAATTCATCTACTAGTCTAACACCAATAGCTAATTTTTTAGGGTTCCCAAACATTGTGAAATTCTCCCACTTGAGTTGTTAGGAGAAAAATGGCAAAGGAAGTCAAATTGCAAATCGATGAACATATCTCCTCAATTAGCTTCTTATGTGACAGTAAAAAGATAAAAGGGGTGAGTGATGGAAATGGCAGTGGCTCTTCAAACAAGTTGAAATAAAGATTGAGATAAAATCATAAGCAAAAGAAAGTTGGTCTACGACTCTTAGAAGATTATAAGAAAGATCAACAAAAGACAATAAACCCGCCCAGCCAGGCGTTTGGCCATGAGTTTTGTTGTCAGAAAAATCTAGTGTATAGAAATTTTTCGCGGTCCTAAAAAATCCAACTCTTTTTATTTCCTAGGAG